GTAGCTTGCAGTGCTGCATTTAACCACTGCGCCACCTTGGCTCCGTTGTTCCTGCTATGTTCCTCTACTTGTGGGCAGGTGGACAAACCAGGAAAGCGTAGCTTGATGTTACAACTGAACCTGGAATTATAGTGAAGTACAGCCAGAGAAACCGGAGTATATTAACTAACTATCTTGATTTAAAACAGGATCACTGTGAGTCAGTTGGAAGAATTGACAAGCTTACATTAAGGTTAGTCCCAGTTGTATAAAATCTCACTACAAATATCTCAGGCCACGATGGGCTAGGTTCCCACACTTACATGGAAGACATTCCGCTTGCTGGACAAATCCCGAGCCCACTCAATACGAGCCCCACGCAAATCCACACTGCTTTCAGGCCGGCTACCCGATGGAGGCTGTGTGGGGGAAGGACAGGGGGTAGGAGGTACTCTATACGCCACAGCCAATCTGTGCTGGAAGTCACTGGGAAGGAATGAGGAAGATGGGAACTAATCCGTATTTACTCCATTATTGATTTATCACAGCAACACAGACTTTTGTGTTGATGAATGGATACATGCATGGATGGATGGATGGATGGATGGATGGATGGATGGATGGATGGACAGACAGACGGATGGATGATAGGTAGAAGAGAGAGAGGAAGGGAGAGAGGGGAGAGAGATGAGAGATGGAGGGGGAATGGGAAAGAATGGAGAAAGAGAAACATACAGTATACACATATACATACATACAGAATACACATGGACATCCATCATCCCTGAACAATACTGTCAGTGGGTATTCTATATCTAAAGACTATACCAGACGTTACTGTATGCAATGAAATTTCATTTTAACGTATGCCGATTAATGTACATTCAAAGTGACAATGAAGTTATTCTAAGTTCTACCACTGTGATGGTGAACCTATGGCACGTGTGCCAGAGGTGACACTCAGAGTCCTCTCTATGGGCACGCAGGCCATCGCCAGCTGCTCTTCTGTTTACAGTGTGCATGTGGGTCATTTTCTGGGCCGTTTTCCAGGCCATTTTCCGGCTGTTTTGGGGGTCAAAAACAGGCTCTAAAAAAGGCCTCAAATTTCCCTGAAAAACGGCCTGGAAAATGGCCTGGTTTTGTTGGCTGTTTTCGGGCCATTTTCTGGGCCATTTTCCAGGCTGTTTTCCAAGTCATTTTCCAGCCGTTTTGGGGGTCAAAAACAGGCTCTAAAAAGGCCTGAAAATTCCCTGAAAAATGGCCTGGAAAATGCCCTGGTTTTTGGCTGTTTTGGGGCCATTTTCTGGGGCGTTTTCCAGGCCGTTTTCCAGGCCATTTTTTGGCCGTTTTTGGGGTCAAAAACAAGCTCTTAAAAAAGCCTGAAATTTCCCTGAAAAACAGCCCAGAAAATGGTCTGTTTTTTTGGCTGTTTTCAGGCCGTTTTCCGGACTGTTTTTCGGGGAATTTTCAGCCTGTTTTTTGAGGTGTTTTTGGCCCAGCTGGAAAATGGCTCAAAAAGCAGCCTGCAAACAGCCGCCAAAACAGCCCTAAAAGCGGCCAAAAAACAGGCATACGCACGCCAGCCAGTTGGTCTTTGGGTTTCCAGTGCTCTGGCACGCACACATGCACAGGCGTTCTGGTTTGGGTACTCGGTGCCGAAAAGGTTCGCCATCACTGTTCTAGCAGATCCCTAAATGGGCAAAATCACCCCTTTTATTCAAAAGTCTCTCCAGTTTCCTCCCAGTTTCCTCCCAGTTTCTCAAAGGGGGCATGTATGACCTTTCCAGAGATTGAACTGACTTCTTCCAGAAAGCTTTTAAAATTAGTGTGAGGATTGTACAAAGTCAGACTACCAACCATACAAGACCTTAGGCTGCCTTTGCTGATTTGCCAGTTAAGCATCTGTCTCCTGCTACACTCACCCATGCAGCAGAAACCTTGGGGTCCTTGTAGAACATGAGGCTGTTCCCAGCTAATACCAGCCACGATGACGCCCAGCATTTTCTGGAGGGAGAGGAAAACAAGAAAAACTGTAGCCCAGCCCACCAAAGCCATAACCTCCCCTGGGCTTCCAAGTTTAAAAGTGTCAAAAGGTGCTTGAACAGTCAAGATCAATGCTCCCACATACAGGGGTGTGGCACTGCAAGCATCTGTTTGTGCTTGGAATAACCTCTGCATTTTCATAAATGCAGGGGTGGGCTTCAAAAATTTTAGCAATGGGTTCCCCGCCCTTTTGCTGGGTGGGTGTGGCCTAGTTGGCCTCCTACCCCATGGTGGGGCAGGCATTTTCTCCCTCCCTGGGCTCCGGATATTTTTTTTGAGCCTCCGGGAGGGCGAAAATGGCCTCCCCCAGGCTCTGGAGGCCCTCCGGAGGCTGGAAACGGGCCCATTTCTGGCCTTCCGGAACTTCCGGGAGGCCCGTTTTTCACCCTCCCTGAGCCTCTGCGCGAGCCCTGTACTTACATGGCATCCCAAATGGGCTATGTGGGGACTCCTGGGAGGGGAGGGGCAGGGTCATGGGGCCAGCCAGGGGTAGGATTTGTGGGTTCTCTGAACTGGGCAGATTCTTAGCTAGAGTTCTCTCGAACCCGTGTGAACCCGTATCAGCCCACCCTGCATAAATGACAATGTTTCAACATGTCAGTGACCAAGTATTGGAGGACACACTAAGGAAGAGCAATTTTGCTGATAGTTTTTGGCCCCCCAAACAAAAACATTTTCTGAATTTTCATATCACAAATGAGAAATGCCACGCTGTGCCTTTCTTGCTGAACAATTGCTAATGAAATAATAGACTGGTGCAGACAAGGTAACTATGAATAGAGGTTAGAACAGGGGTCCGTAGTATTGTCAGAGGGATGTTACCCATCTGTTTTCCTTGTTATCATCTGGGAGGAGGCTTTGTGGTATCCGAAGCAGATCATTCTAGATTCAGTCACAGTTTTCTTCCAAATAGTATCAACCTTGCAAACTCTCAAGTTCCCTCTTTCCTCTTTCTGCTATGTATTCAAAATGGCAATAAAGGTGGACTTATCTTGTCTGAGAGGAGAATACCCTGAGATGAGTCTTATCCTGAACTTACTTTCATTAGCATGGAGCTGAATGTTGGACCTCTCCAAGTTTAGTTCACCTCCAGGGGTGGGCTGCTACAGGTTTGCCCGGATTCGGGAGAACCAATAGCTAACGTTATGGCGAGTTTGGAGAACCTCAAAATCCCACCCCTGGCTGGCCACCATACCTCTCCCCTCCCAGGAGTCTCCACGCAGCCCATTTTGGATGCGAGATAAGCGCAGGGCCCCCACAGAGGCTCAGGGAGGGGGAAAAATGGGCCTGCTGGAAGGCCTCCGGAGCCCGGGGTAGGCAATTTTTGCCCTCCCAGAAGCTTGAGGAAAGCCTCCGGAGCCTGGAGAAAGCGCCCCCCCCCTCCCGTGGTGCAGCCACCATTGCTGAATTTTTTGAAGTGCACCCCTTTTCACGTCTGTACATTCAGCCATCATTTGACAAGTATAAGCGGGCCGGGCATGTATCTTCTTTGACATACTCCAATTTCTCTAGATTTGCTTCCCGTCTTCTCCCTTACAAAAAGGTTCAACTCTGCCTTATTTTGCCCACCCTCCCCCTTCGGATTTATGTCTATGACTGAGAAGGTCCATTATTCACTAAGGCCCCTTTCCAGCCTCTTTGTCTATTCAGGCCAGGACATTGCTTGTCAAAATCCCTTCAGCTGTGAAATGCTCCTCAGTCAGAGCTGGTGAGGTAGCCAAATGAGGACTGAGAAGCACAAATGCCCCAGATTCTTCCTAAATGGACAATGAGGAAGGTATCCCTCCTCAATGCCCCTCTTGCCGGGGAGACTTTAACTGGGTACCTGAGTTTCCGACCTCCTTCAGCAATCTTGGTTTTGTTCAGCTGTCCACATTTCTCCACCATCTGCCAAAAGAAACAGTGTCAACAATTTACAGTCCTAGCTGTAGGTCCTTCCTGAAATCCATACCACTCCCCATACTCCCACTTCTTTGCAGATCTTTTATTGCCTACAAACTTGGGCTCCAGATAGGGCTCCATTGCTAGCTCTCCTACTGGACCAGTTGAGGGCGGACCTTCCCAATGTGGCTGAGCTGCAACCCATAACAGCCCCAAGCAACACAGACAATAATGAGCATGTGTAGTTTGGTAACATCTGGAGGACCATAATATTCCCAATTTGCAAGGAGAAAAACAATTTGGAGCAGTGAGATACAATCTTTTTTTCAAAGGAGATAGAGAAGAAACACATTGGTACACACATGCTAAAAAGGACAGGTGGAGATGGCAAAATCAAGAATAGGGCAGGCGTACTCTCTAAAATAGGTGGCTCAGTGGTTAAGATGCTGAGTTTGTCAATCAGAAAGGTCGGTAGTTCGGGGGTTCGAATCCCTAGCCCCGCATTACAGAATGAGCTCCCGTTACTTGTCCCAGCTTCTGCCAACTTAGCAATTTGAAAGCATGTAAAAAATGCAAGTAGAAAAATAGGAACCACCTTTGGTGAGAAGGTAAGGGGGAACCTTTACCTTTACCTTACCCTCTGAATTTCCTAGTCCCAGTTAGAGATTTCCTCCCCAACAATTCCATTTACTATGCCAGCTTCTCTAGCTTGATTTTTTTTTACTTATTTCACTCTCTAGATCCTGCTACTTTCTCTTCACCATCTCTTTTGCCCCTTCGGTCTCCAAATCTCATAATTATTATGGCTTCCATAATTATTCTCTTGTTGAAGTGTTCAGTTTTGGAGATTAATTTGGTTCCTTCAAAATTAATTTC